TCTGGAGACTGGTCCTCTCCGTCTCCACACAGGGCATTCTGTAGACTGGTCCTCTCCGTCTCTACACAGGGCATTCTGTAGACTGGTCCTATTGGTCTCTACACAGGGCATTCTGTAGACTGGTCCTCTCCGTCTCTACACAGGGCATTCTGTAGACTGGTCCTATTGGTCTCTACACAGGGCATTCTGTAGACTGGTCCTCTCCGTCTCTACACAGGGGCATTCCTGTAGACTGGTCCCTATTGGTCTCTACACCAGGGCATTTCTGTAGACTGGTCCTATTGGTCTCTTACACAGGGCATTCTGTAGACTGGTCCTATTGGTCTCTACACAGGGCATTCTGTAGACTGGTCCTATTGGTCTCTACACAGGGCATTCTGTAGACTGGTCCTATTGGTCTCTACACAGGGCATTCTGTAGACTGGTCCTCTCCGTCCTACACAGGGCATTCTGTAGACTGGTCCTATTGGTCTCTACACAGGGCATTCTGTAGACTGGTCCTCTCCGTCTCTACACAGGGCATTCTGTAGACTGGTCCTCTCCGTCTCTACACAGGGCATTCTGTAGACTGGTCCTATTGGTCTCTACACAGGGCATTCTGTAGACTGGTCCTATTGGTCTCTACACAGGGCATTCTGTAGACTGGTCCTATTGGTCTCTACACAGGGCATTCTGTAGACTGGTCCTATTGGTCTCTACACAGGGCATTCTGTAGACTGGTCCTATTGGTCTCTACACAGGGCATTCTGTAGACTGGTCCTATTGGTCTCTACACAGGGCATTCTGTAGACTGGTCCTATTGGTCTCTACACAGGGCATTCTGTAGACTGGTCCTATTGGTCTCTACACAGGGCATTCTGTAGACTGGTCCTCTCCGTCTCTACACAGGGCATTCTGTAGACTGGTCCTCTCCGTCTCTACACAGGGCATTCTGTAGACTGGTCCTATTGGTCTCCACACAGGGCATTCTGTAGACTGGTCCTATTGGTCTCTACACAGGGCATTCTGTAGACTGGTCCTCTCCGTCTCTACACAGGGCATTCTGTAGACTGGTCCTCTCCGTCTCTACACAGGGCATTCTGTAGACTGGTCCTCTCCGTCTCTACACAGGGCATTCTGTAGACTGGTCCTATTGGTCTCTACACAGGGCATTCTGTAGACTGGTCCTCTCCGTCTCTACACAGGGCATTCTGTAGACTGATCCTCTCCGTCTCTACACAGGGCATTCTGTAGACTGGTCCTATTGGTCTCTACACAGGGCATTCTGTAGACTGGTCCTCTCCGTCTCCACACAGGGCATTCTGTAGACTGATCCTCTCCGTCTCTACACAGGGCATTCTGTAGACTGGTCCTATTGGTCTCTACACAGGGCATTCTGTAGACTGGTCCTATTGGTCTCTACACAGGGCATTCTGTAGACTGGTCCTCTCCGTCTCTACACAGGGCATTCTGTAGACTGGTCCTCTCCGTCTCTACACAGGGCATTCTGTAGACTGGTCCTCTCCGTCTCTACACAGGGCATTCTGTAGACTGGTCCTCTCCGTCTCTACACAGGGCATTCTGTAGACTGATCCTATTGGTCTCTACACAGGGCATTCTGTAGACTGGTCCTATTGGTCTCTACACAGGGCATTCTGTAGACTGGTCCTCTCCGTCTCTACACAGGGCATTCTGTAGACTGGTCCTATTGGTCTCTACACAGGGCATTCTGTAGACTGGTCCTATTGGTCTCTACACAGGGCATTCTGTAGACTGGTCCTATTGGTCTCTACACAGGGCATTCTGTAGACTGGTCCTATTGGTCTCTACACAGGGCATTCTGCAGACTGGTCCTCTTGGTCTCCACACAGGGCATTCTGTAGACTGGTCCTATTGGTCTCTACACAGGGCATTCTGTAGACTGGTCCTCTTGGTCTCCACACAGGGCATTCTGTAGACTGGTCCTATTGGTCTCTACACAGGGCATTCTGTAGACTGGTCCTATTGGTCTCTACACAGGGCATTCTGTAGACTGGTCCTCTCCGTCTCTACACAGGGCATTCTGTAGACTGGTCCTCTCCGTCTCTACACAGGGCATTCTGTAGACTGGTCCTATTGGTCTCTACACAGGGCATTCTGTAGACTGGTCCTCTACGTCTCTACACAGGGCATTCTGTAGACTGCTCCTCTCCGTCTCTACACAGGGCATTCTGTAGACTGGTCCTCTCCGTCTCTACACAGGGCATTCTGTAGACTGGTCCTCTCCGTCTCTACACAGGGCATTCTGTAGACTGGTCCTATTGGTCTCTACACAGGGCATTCTGTAGACTGGTCCTATTGGTCTCTACACAGGGCATTCTGTAGACTGGTCCTCTCCGTCTCTACACAGGGCATTCTGTAGACTGGTCCTATTGGTCTCCACACAGGGCATTCTGTAGACTGGTCCTCTCCGTCTCTACACAGGGCATTCTGTAGACTGGTCCTCTCCGTCTCTACACAGGGCATTCTGTAGACTGGTCCTATTGGTCTCTACACAGGGCATTCTGTAGACTGGTCCTATTGGTCTCTACACAGGGCATTCTGTAGACTGGTCCTATTGGTCTCTACACAGGGCATTCTGTAGACTGGTCCTATTGGTCTCTACACAGGGCATTCTGTAGACTGGTCCTATTGGTCTCTACACAGGGCATTCTGTAGACTGGTCCTATTGGTCTCTACACAGGGCATTCTGTAGACTGGTCCTCTCCGTCTCTACACAGGGCATTCTGTAGACTGGTCCTCTTGGTCTCCACACAGGGCATTCTGTAGACTGGTCCTCTCCGTCTCTACACAGGGCATTCTGTAGACTGGTCCTATTGGTCTCTACACAGGGCATTCTGTAGACTGGTCCTCTCCGTCTCTACACAGGGCATTCTGTAGACTGGTCCTCTCCGTCTCTACACAGGGCATTCTGTAGACTGGTCCTATTGGTCTCTACACAGGGCATTCTGTAGACTGGTCCTATTGGTCTCTACACAGGGCATTCTGTAGACTGGTCCTATTGGTCTCTACACAGGGCATTCTGTAGACTGGTCCTATTGGTCTCTACACAGGGCATTCTGTAGACTGGTCCTATTGGTCTCTACACAGGGCATTCTGTAGACTGGTCCTATTGGTCTCTACACAGGCATTCTGTAGACTGGTCCTCTCCGTCTCTACACAGGGCATTCTGTAGACTGGTCCTCTTGGTCTCCACACAGGGCATTCTGTAGACTGGTCCTCTCCGTCTCTACACAGGGCATTCTGTAGACTGGTCCTATTGGTCTCTACACAGGGCATTCTGTAGACTGGTCCTCTCCGTCTCTACACAGGGCATTCTGTAGACTGGTCCTATTGGTCTCCACACAGGGCATTCTGTAGACTGGTCCTATTGGTCTCTACACAGGGCATTCTGTAGACTGGTCCTATTGGTCTCTACACAGGGCATTATGTAGACTGGTCCTATTGGTCTCTACACAGGGCATTCTGTAGACTGGTCCTATTGGTCTCTACACAGGGCATTCTGTAGACTGGTCCTATTGGTCTCTACACAGGGCATTCTGTAGACTGGTCCTATTGGTCTCTACACAGGGCATTCTGTAGACTGGTCCTATTGGTCTCTACACAGGGCATTCTGTAGACTGGTCCTCTCCGTCTCTACATAGGGCATTCTGTAGACTGGTCCTCTCCGTCTCTACACAGGGCATTCTGTAGACTGGTCCTATTGGTCTCTACACAGGGCATTCTGTAGACTGGTCCTCTCCGTCTCTACACAGGGCATTCTGTAGACTGGTCCTATTGGTCTCTACACAGGGCATTCTGTAGACTGGTCCTATTGGTCTCTACACAGGGCATTCTGTAGACTGGTCCTATTGGTCTCTACACAGGGCATTCTGTAGACTGGTCCTCTCCGTCTCTACACAGGGCATTCTGTAGACTGGTCCTCTCCGTCTCTACACAGGGCATTCTGTAGACTGGTCCTCTCCGTCTCTACACAGGGCATTCTGTAGACTGGTCCTATTGGTCTCTACACAGGGCATTCTGTAGACTGGTCCTATTGGTCTCTACACAGGGCATTCTGTAGACTGATCCTATCCTATCCAATTCGCACACTTATCAAGAAAACATCCCTGGTCATCCATACTGCCTCTGATCTGGAGGACTCACTAAACACACATGCTTTGTTTTTAACTGTCTGAGTGTTGGAGTGTGACCCTGGCTGTCCGTAAATAAATAAAAAAGAAGGAAATTGTGCCGTCTGGTTTGCTTAATATAAGGAATTTTTAATTATTCGTACTTTTACTTTTACTTTTGATACTTAAGTATATTTTAGCAACTACATTTACTTTTGATAGTTAAGTATATTTAAAACCAAATACTTTTAGACTTTTACTCAAGTAGTATTTTACTGGGTGATTTTCACTTTTACTTGAGTCATTTTCTATTAAAGTATCTTTACTTTGACTCAAGTATGAGACTTGAATACTTTTTCCACCACTGGTTCGAATCCCCATGCCAACAAGGTGAAAAATCTGTCGATGTGCCCTTGAGTGAGGCACTTAACCCTGATTGCTCCAGGGTCACCGTTGATGGCTGACCCCCTGGCCGTGACCCCACTCTCTGAGGGTGTCTCAGGGGGAGTTGGGATATGGAAAAAGGACATTTCCAATTCACACATGTATAATACACACTGACTGGTATATTTTATTATTATTTACGAGACATTCATTTTAGTTTTAATAAAGTGACATACTTTTTTTAAATGTACTACCAATAACCCACATTACAACCTGCCTATATACCTTTTCATTGTAGGTACCTGGGTGGATGGGGGCAGAGTCGTGTATTACAGTGTGTGAAACCTACAGTTGGACTTTAAACTCGCTTATATTAATATATATTTTTTTTAAACCTGTTCAGTTTTAGCATTATTGCGAGGACTTTTGCGACCAGTAGGCTAAGCAGATAGCCTACTTCTGAAAGTTTTAATTGAACAGGTGAGTCGTCACGTGACCACCCGTACACAGGATCCACAAGTAATTCTAGCAGCTGAACCGAAAGTCAAGCCTTGGAGTTATTCTTTTGTTCAATTATAATATTTTATCCACTGGAGCCGGATGATATGATATAATCCTAGGGCCATTGCGATTGAAAGCTCGTAATAAGAAGGAAAGAGAAAGATGTCTTCGAACCAGTTGTCTTTCATTCTGGCATGTACTTTATGGAACAGGATGTCGGTGTGTGCTGGAGGTAAGATTATATTCCGTCATTTAATCTATTGCTAAAGTTGTTTAATCTATTAAACTGAAAACCGATTGAATTGTGTGCTATTTGATTGATCAGAAAGTGTGACTTTTTTTGGCCACTAATTTATAAATCTTACCGCATGCTATCGTGCGTAGAGCGCATTTTTTGGAGAGGCGTTTTTGTACAGAAGATTTGAGATATGATTTGAGTTTCTAGCAAATTCCATTAGTATAGACCGTATAAACATTATGTAGCAGTGTAGCTTAGAATTCTTTGCACAGGTTGTTTATCGTCAAAAGGAAACGAAAGTAAAGGCTACTTGCATCAAAATATCGAACAAACAGCCTCTCTCTCTTTTAAGGATACATTACTCATTAAAATAAACAGAATTTGAAGATAAGAGACAGTTGCCAATCAGTTGGAGAAGAGACAACTAATCAATGAGAAGCACAGATCTGTCTGCTCTCAATACTGCAACCTATCAGTGTCATTCAGTCATGAGTTCTCTAGTCCAGTCGGCCACAATTGCTCCAATCTGGACATTGTACCCGGATATACAGCTCAGTGCTACATCATGTTAATAATAAATCATATACAGAATGTTAAAACAGAGTGTGTTTTTGTGAAGAAAGGGGGGGGGGGGGGTGTAGAGGCACTTGGCGCAGTGGAGCAGAGGCACTTACAGAAGTTACACACGCATTTAATGGAATTCTACATCATATTAGATGACTGGAGACTTCAGCAGAATATTTTTTTAATACCTCACAAATGATCGAAATGACAGGCTACTTTGACAAACTGAGAATCTGAGATCAATAAAAAACGACATTGTCTTGAATCCTTCAATAGGCCTAGGCCTAGGTGCGTGGAGACGCACATATTGTGCAATATGAGGAGGAAATTATAGTCCTAAAAAAAAGCTTTCCAATTTCACTGATGCGCAGATCACTCACCGGCGATGGCCTCTCTCTCTCTCTCTCGTTTTACTTTGTAAAACAATGCTGTTCGCTCAATGGGACTATTTGGAAGTTGATAACATATTTGGTAGCCTACAGACAGACTAGTCTTCTTTTTTTCAGCAGAATCCATTTGCTTTCCTACCTGTGTTTTCCCGCGATTGTATTTGAAATATTGCGAAAGGCCTGTTTTGGCTGCATGCTGTTGTTCACCAGACTGATTTGCAGCGCGCTCCCGACGGTAGGCATGACTTGTGATTGGGCTACATCCAATCCGCAGCTAAGCTATAAAAACAGGGTGTGGGGGGGGGGGGGGGGGGGGAGATATTGATCCTCTGTGGCTAAGTAATAGGCCTACTACTCCTGGTGTAGTATTCTAAATTATTTCATTGCTTTATCAACAGACAGCAGTAATTATATAACTTTGGCAAATGTATTGCAATTTATCAGGGGTGCTGCGGTACCAGGAAATAAAGTTACGAAGTGCAACGCTGGAGAGATGAGAGTTGCAGGCTCATGTCTATCAGAGCAGAGAGAGGAAGAGAGGTCATAGAAAGTGAATCTCCCGGGCCGGCCCAACACAAATCAATTTTTACAATATCAGGCACGTTTTCACATTGTTTTTTTTTTTTTAGGGAGAAGGAGAATTACAGAGGAGGCAACTTGAATTAATTCTGATTGATTTTATTATAATTTTTTTACATTGCAAACAGTTACAATTATTTGTGATGGCACGAGATGTAAAGGATCCTGGGAAATGGGTTCCGGAACGAAAACAGTGCAGCTCAAATGAAGCACTTTTATGTGTACAGCAGATGAATCAGAGCTAAGGAGTTCCCACAGGGCCTCTTAACTAGCCTGCTCATGACCATATCTGAATATGTTGACCAACTGGTCATTTTAGTACTGACTGACAGAGAGAGGGAGGGAGGGGGGGAACGAGAGTCTCCAAATCTGTGTACTCCTGTTGTTCTTTCTGCTGTGGGAGTTAAAGGGTTATGGCAGTGTATGCTTGCGAATAAATGAATGACCAGTTTCTATTTACACGGCTAACAGTGGTGTTTCAGGGCTGTTAAGGCCTACCCAATGGTTGTCCTGTATTCATTTTCTGTTTAATTGAAAGTTGTCAAAAGAAAATCGGAGGATACTGAAAATGTGCTACTCCGCAAAGTACCCATTTGCCCCACGAGTGAGCTGAGCTGCAAGTAAAAAAATATTAACTGGGTGGAAAAAGCAAACAAGTTCACCTTCACGTTCCATTAAAGTTGACCTGTTCCAGTCACTGGGCAACCAGCAACAATACTGCCCTCCTGCTCTGTTGAGTCATACCGTTTATAGACAATAGGCTCTGGTTGAGTCCCAAATGGCACCCTATGCCCTACATAGTGCACTACTTTTGAGCTGGGCCTGGTCAAAAGTAGTGCACTATATGGACAATAGGATGCCATTTGGGACGCAATCCCTCTGTATCCACAGACTGTATGCAAAGCATTGGCTCAGCACTTGGCTCTGTGCTTTAAATTAGCGAATGATGGTGTAATTTACATTAATTTGCTCATTGCGTAAATATTCAAAAGAAAGAAGCTCCAGAGTTCCCACACACTGCTCTGTAGCTCAATTGGTAGAGCATGGCGCTTGTAACGCCAGGGTAGTGGGTTCGATCCCCGGGACCACCCATACGTAAAAATGTATGCGCACATGACTGTAAGTCGCTTTGGATAAAAGCGTCTGCTAAATGGCATATTATTATTATTATTATTATTACTGTAGATTCATGATTCTCACGTCACCCCCCTCCTCCGCACACTCCACTGGCTTCCAGTTGAAGCTCGCATCCGTTACAAGACCATGGTGCTTGCCTATGGAGCAGTGAGGGGAACGGCACCTCCGTACCTTCAGGCTCTGATCAGTCCCTACACCCAGGCGAGGGCATTGCGTTCATCCACCTCTGGCCTGCTAGCTCCCCTACCTCTGCTGAAGCACAGTTCCCGCTCAGCCCAGTCAAAGCTGTTCGCTGCTCTGGCACCCCAATGGTGGAACAAGCTCCCTCACGACGCCAGGACAGCGGAGTCACTCACCACCTTCCGGAGACATTTGAAACCCCACCTCTTTAAGGAACACCTGGGATAGGATAAAGTAATCCTTCTACCCCCCCCCCCCAAAAAAAAATAGTATAATTGTAAAGTGGTTATCCCACTGGCTATAGGGTGAATGCACCAATTTGTAGTCGCTCTGGATAAGAGCGTCTGCTAAATGACGTAAATGTGCCCTTGAGCAAGGCACTTAACCCTAATTGCTCCTGTAAGTCGCTCTGGATAAGAGCGTCTGCTAAATGACTAAAATGTAAATGTAAATGTAAATGACATCAAGATCCAGTACCGTAGATCAACTTATTTAGAAAGCAGAGACACTCCAGGAGAATAAATAATAATAATAATAATATGCCATTTAGCAGACGCTTTTATCCAAAGCGACTTACAGTCATGTGCGCATACATTTTTACGTATGGGTGGTCCCAGGGATCGAAAGCACTACCCTGGCGTTACAAGCGCCTTGCTCTACCAATTGAGCTACAGAGGACCACTAAGATAGCTATACCTTTAGTAAACAGTGCGTTTGGTGTCCCTGGCTCAAACTGAATGTACAGTTGAAGTCTGAAGTTTACATACACTTAGGTTGGAGTCATTAAAACTCATTTTTCAACCACTCCACACATTTCTTGTTAGCGAACTATAGTTTTGGCAAGTCGGCTAGGACATCTACTTTGTGCATGACACAAGTAATTTTTCCAACAATTGTTTACAGACAGATTATTTCACTTATAATTCACTGTATCACAATTCCAGTAGGTCAGAAGTTTACATACACTAAGTTGACTGTGCCTTTAAACAGCTTGGAAAATTCCAGAAGGGGAATGCTTGCAAGCCGAAGAACACCATCCCAACCGTGAAGCACGGGGGTGGCAGCATCATGTTGTGGGGGTGCTTTGCTGTAGGAGGGACTGGTGCGCTTCACAAAATAGATGGCATCATGAGGAAGGAAAATTATGTGGATATATTGAAGCAACATCTCAAGACATCAGTCAGGAAGTTAAAGCTTGGTCGCAAATGGGTCTTCCAAATGGACAATGACCCCAAGCATACTTCCTAAGTTGTGGCAAAATGGCTTAAGGACAACAAAGACAAGGTATTGGAGTGGCCATCACAAAGCCCTGACCTCAATCCTATAGAGCATTTGTGGGCAGAACTGAAAAAGTGTGTGCGAGCAAGGAGGCCTAGAATCCTGACTCAGTTACACCAGCTCTGTCAGGAGGAATGGGCCAAAATTCACCCAACTTATTGTGGGAAGCTTGTGGAAGGCTACCCAAAACGTTTGACCCAAGTTAAACAATTTAAAGGCAACGCTACCAAATACTAATTGAGTGTATGTAAACTTCTGACCCACTGGGAATGTGATGAAATAAATAAAACCTGAAATAAATAATTCTCACTTCTATTATTCTGACATTTCACATTCTTAAAATAAAGTGGTGATCCTAACTGACCTAAGACAGGGAATTTTTACTAGGATTAAATGTCAGGAATTGTGAAAAACAGAGTTTAAATGTATTTGGCTAAGGTGTATGTAAACTTCCAACTTCAACTGTATATGTACATTCTCTATGACAAACACTAAGATAATCCTCCTCTGTCTCCCCTCCCGTTCCAGGTCAGAGCTGTGTGGATGAGCAGATGTTTAAAGAGCAGGTGTTCCATAAGGGAGAGAAGGGTCCATATGGGTTTAAAGAGCAGGTGTTCTATAAGGGAGAGAAGGGTCCATATGGGTTTAAAGAGCAGGTGTTCTATAAGGGAGAGAAGGGTCCATATGGGTTTAAAGAGCAGGTGTTCTATGAGGGAGAGAAGGGTCCATATGCTTCAGAGATCTAATAATCCTAGGTAGGTGAAGAAAATATGATGGAGACTAGGCTGAGCTGTTGCTCACTCCTACCTACCCAGGCACATCTCCTACCTACCTACCTACCTACCTACCTACCTACCTACCTACCTACCTACCTACCTACCTACCTACCTACCTACCTACCTACCTACTGATGTCTATTTTTAATGGATTATCAGATGAAATTGAGTTAATCATGAACATATAGTTAACATTCTTTGTGGCTAACTGAATTGGGCCGTTTGTTTTTGTCTCTCTCTTCAAACACAGTGAAGGGAGCGGCACCAGGGTTGAATAGAGTTTGGGCTAGACCTTTGTCTGCTCCTTGGTATAGTCTTGATTGATTACAGCTTGAGGGGGGGAGGTTTGTGTTATTTAGGGCCTGTCACGTATAAGCTAAACATGAGTGTGTGTGCAAGACAGGGGAACGGGTGATTGGTTGGAGTAATAGTTCAGGCGTCCTCAGGGACAAAGGAAGTGGGTGGAGCAATAAAAGAGCGGAAAAACTGAAGAGGACTATATAAGTTGGAGGGAGACCTTAAGAATGTGTGCCCCTCTGCAGACGGGTATCGGCTTTGTTGAAAACTTTAATAAAGTCATTTCTTGATGCAACGAAAACTCATTAAGACCTTATTTGTAATAAAGTATGGTGGTTATTTTCCACAACACTACCTACCTACCCAGGCACATCTTCTACCTACCTACCTACCTACCTACCTACCTACCTACCTACCTACCTACCTACCTACCTACCTACCTACCTACCTACCTACCTACCTACCTACCTACCTACCTACCTACCTACCTACCTACCTACCTACCTACCTACCCAGGCACATCTTCTACCTACCTACCTACCTACTTACCTACCTACCTACCTACCTACCTACCTACCTACCTACCTACCCAGGCACATCTTCCTGGATAATGAAATGCAAACAAACACTGTAATAATGCAGGATAACTATTAAACAAGTTGTTATACATTCTTTACAGTCATAGTATTATTCATACAACACTATGGTAATAACCAAATAAATATAATAATATGGTAATAACATGGTAATAACCTAATAATAACAATAGTTTGGTTATACCAAATGTGATCGTAATGTGATAGAATATCCTCGAGGTGGCCAACTCATAATCTATTGCTGTTCCTAGTGAACTCATAATCTATTGTTGTTCCTAGCGAACTCATAATCTAGTGTTGTTCCTAGTGAACTCATAATCTAGTGTTGTTCCTAGTGAACTCATAATCTAGTGTTGTTCCTAGCCAACTCATAATCTATTGTTGTTCCTAGCCAACTCATAATCTAGTGTTGTTCCTAGCCAACTCATAATCTATTGTTGTTCCTACTGAACTCATAATCTATTGTTGTTCCTACTGAACTCATAATCTATTGTTGTTCCTAGTGAACTCATAATCTATTGTTGTTCCTAGTGAACTCATAATCTATTGTTGTTCCTAGCGAACTCATAATCTAGTGTTGTTCCTAGTGAACTCATAATCTAGTGTTGTTCCTAGCCAACTCATAATCTATTGTTGTTCCTAGCCAACTCATAATCTAGTGTTGTTCCTAGCCAACTCATAATCTATTGTCGTTCCGCTAAGCGTTAGTTTCATATGCGTTGGGGTGGGGGGTGTTAATTGGTATTTGCCACACCTGTAGAGAAGAGGTTTGTTTCAGTCAGTGTGCCTGCCTTCCAGCAGTGAGTTGGCTGGATCAGCCTTACAGGATTGGTCTGGGGACATGAAGGGCCTTGTTATTTTTTAGGTCCTGCAGTCAGTCAGTCAGTCAGTCAGTCACCATAGCAGGGTTTTTTCTTTATTTTTACTAGTACTGATTTTGCACATAGCTGCAGAAGAAGCTTTCAGTGATTGTGATGTGCTTGTGTTACCTACTTTAGTTGATTGCACTGATTGTAAGTTGCTCTGGATAAGAGTGTCTGCTTAATGACTGAAATGTAAAATGTTGCAGTGGCTTGGTATTGTGAATTTCACTTAGCTGGAGGAACTTTATATTATTTTCAGTTTGTTAAATGTGTTAATTCATTCATTCATTCATTAATGCAGAATCGCTGTGCACCCAAGCCCCAGAGTTTCAGCTGCCCAGTGGTGGCCAGTCTGAGGTGTGGGAGACCCTGGGTTCCTCTGTGGCTCTGAACTGTACAGCCCTGCTGTCCTGGAACCAGACAGATCAACGGTGTGAAGCTACCTTCTCGACACTGCTCTGGAGCAAAGATGGGACCCCTCTCAACCTCAGCCTTTACCCACAGAACACATCCACCTGGTGAGTTCAACAGGACCTTGCAGATCGCATGTGGTCCTCTGTAGCTCAGCTGGTAGAGCACGGTGCTTGTAACGCCAGGGTAGTGGGTTCGATCCCCGGGACCACCCATACACACAAAAAAAAAGAATGTATGCACGCATGACTGTAAGTCGCTTTGGATAAAAGCGTCTGCTAAATGGCTTATTATTATAGTATTACATGTACACTGAACTACAGGTTGTCATTGCAAATAAGAATCTACTCTTGACTTATTTGTATAAATTAAGGTTAAATTACAAATAATGTTCTGCTTTTTCCCCCCCACAATGTCCAACCAATTACAATACAGAGGCCACCTTTTTGTTCTCCTGGCAGGACTCACAGCCCATCCCAGATGATGGTGAGCAGTGTGCTGCAGGTCCGGCTTAGAGAGCAGGCTGACTTTGGCCTCTACTCCTGTGAGGTGAGGAACACCTCTGCTGACTTCAGCCTGCAGAATACAGGTAAGAGACCAGGGGATTGTGGACTGTACATTATACTATATCAGACATGTTGTCAAAGGCAATTCACAGTAGTGTGTGCGTACAATACTTATTTCAAATGTTAATTTCAAGACATTTAAAAACGCATTGATGTGATAACTGAGCCTGGGTGAATACAGATATGCTGTTTTATTATTTAAAAAATGTTTAGGGGGTATATCAGCTTTAATATTGTAGCTTCCATGAATGTAATTGTCTGCATCATTTCCAATTCCGCATATATATTTTTTGTAAATATACACTACCGGTCAAAAGTTTTAGTACACCTACTCATTCAAGGGTTTTTCTTAATTTTTTACTATTTTCTACATTGTAGAATAATAGTGAAGACATCAAAACTATGAAATAACACATATGGAATCATGTAGTAACCAAAAAAGTGTTAAACATATCAAAATAATTTTATATTTGAGATTCTTCAAAGTAGCCACCCTTTGCCTTGATGACAGCTTTGCACACTCTTGGCATTCTCTCGACCAGCTTCTTGAGGTAGTCAACTGGAATGCATTTCAATTAACAGGTGTGCCTTGTTAAAAGTTAATTTGTGGAATTTGTGGAATTTCTTTCCTTCTTAATGCGTTTGAGCCAATCAGTTGTGTTGTAACAAGGTAGGGGTGGTATACAGAAGATAGCCCTATTTGGTAAAAGACGTAGTGCATATTATGGCAAGAACAGCTCAAATAAGCAAAGAGAAATGACAGTCTATCATTACTTTAAGACATGAAGGTCTGTCAATTCCATAAAGTAAGTGTGGAAGAGGTGATGTTTTTAAAATTATTGTCGATCAACAATGAAAAGCCACTGGGGTCTGACAACTTGGATGGAAAATGACTGAGGATAATAGCGGACGATATTGCCACTCCTATTTGCCATATCTTCAATTTAAGCCTACTAGAAAGTGTGTGCCCTCAGGCCTGGAGGGAAGCAAAAGTTATTCCGCTACCTAAGAATAGTAAAGTCCCCTTAACTGGCTCAAATAGCCGACCAATTAGCCTGTTACCAACCCTTAGTAAACTATTGGAAAAAATTGTGTTTGACCAGATACAATGCTATTTTACTGTAAACAAATTGACAACATACTTTCAGCACGCTTATAGGGAAGGACATTCAACACGCCCAGCACTTTATTATTTACAAATTACTGATGATTGGCTGAGAGAAATTGATGATAAAAAGATTGTGGGGGCTGTTTTGTTATACTTCAGTGCTCGATCATAGTCTGTTGCTGGAAAAGCGTATGAGTTTTGGCTTTACACCCCCTGCTATATTGTGGATAAAAGTTACCTGTCTAACAGAACACAGAGGGTGTTCTTTAATGGAAGCCTCTACAGCAAAATCCAGGTAGAATCAGGAATTCCCCAGGGCAGCTGTCTAGGACCCTTACTTTTTTCAATCTTTACTAATGACATGCAACTGGCTTTGAGTAAAGCCAATGTGTCTATGTATGTGGATGACTCAACACTATACACGTCAGCTACCACAGCGACTGAAACGACTGCAACACTTAACAAAGAGCCGCAGTTAGTTTCAGAATGGGTGGCAAGGAATAAGTTAGTCCTAAATATTTCAAAAAATAAAAGCATTGTATTTGGGAGAAATCATTTACTAAACCTGTGATGATGAGTTTCTAGGGTATCAAGTAATTCATGATGCAAGAAGATATTTAACACTTAGATGGAGAGTTCATTCAAGTATTGAATAGGTACCGTGGTTCGCATAACAAAAAACCTGTGCTTCGCCTCTTGACATTCGAACTAACTTGAACAAAGAAAACCTCTGTTTATATACTCTGTTACACGTTTCTTGAACAACATCTGTTAACCATCATTTGGCACTCCCTTCTTTGATGGTATTACCCTGTACCCAAGTCAGTATATTACTATCTATCAATCATTCTAAGATAAACCACCAGTAATCTCCCTTGACATAATGGAATCCTTGTTATTCAGACAATGTGGCACCAAGTCACTTATCTACCTTGTTCCTACGACACTGTGAAATGACATCATAACAAAACCCTAAACCTCAACTAAATCTTGTAATTAATAATGTGGAAATTGAGCGAGTTGAGGAGACTAAATTGCTTGGAGTAACCCTGGATTGTAAACTGTCATGGTCAAAACATATTGATACAACAGTAGCTAGGATGGGGAGAAGTCTGTCTATAATAAAGCGCTGCTCTGCCTTCTTAACACCACTATCAACAAGGCAGGTCCTACAGGCCCTAGTTTTGTCGCACCTGGACTACTGTTCAGTCGTGTGGTCAGGTGCCACAAAGAGGGACTTAGGAAAATTGCAATTGGCTCAGAACAGGGCAGCACGGCTGGCCCTTGGATGTACACAGAACGCTAACATTAATAATATGCATGTCTATCTCTCCTGGCTTAAAGTGGAGGAGGGAAGTATGAAAAATGTATGCACTCACTAACTGTAAATCGCTCTGGATAAGAGCGTCTGCTAAATGACTAAAATGTAAATGTAAATGAGATTGACTTCATCACTACTGTATTTGTGAGAGGTATTGACATGTTGAAAGCACCGTGCTGTCTGTTTGAACGACTGGCACACAGCTCAGACACCCGTGCATATCCCACAAGACATGCCACCAGAGATCTCTTCACAGTCCCCAAGTCCAGAACAGACTATGGGAGGCGCACAGTACTACATAGAGCCATGACTACATGGAACTCTATTCCACATCAAGTAACTGATGCAAGCAGTAGAATCAGATTTTTAAAAAACAGATATAAATACACCTTATGGAACAGCAGGGACTGTGAAGCAACACAAACATGGACACATGCATACAAACACACGATAACATACGCACTATACACACACGTACACATGGATTTTGTGTTATAGATATGTGGTAGTAGAGTAGAGGCCTGAGGGCACGCACTTAATATGTTGTGAAATCTGTTATGTATTGTAATGTTTTTAAAATGTATAACTGCCTTAATTTTGCTGGACCCCAGGAAGATTTTTGGTTCCAACCGCCGTGTCTTTGTGAGACCCAGAGTAGGTGAACGGATTATCTCCGCATGTGTGGTTCCCACTGTGAAGCATGGAGGAGGAGGTGTGATGGTGTGGGGGTACTTTGCTGGTGACACTGTCTGTGATTTATTTAGAATTCAAGGCACACTTAACCAGCATGGCTACCACAGCATTCTGCAGAGATACGCCATCCCATCTGGTTTGCGCTTAGTGGGACTATAATTTGTTTTTCAACAGGACAATGACCCAGAACACACCTCCAGGCTGTGTAAGGGCTATTTGACCAAGAAGGAGAGTGATGGAGTGCTGCATCAGATGACCTGGCCTCCACAATCCCCCGACCTCAACCCAATTGAGATGGTTTGGGATGAGTTGGACCGCAGAGTGAAGGAAAAGCAGCCAACAAGTGCTCAGCATATGTGGGAACTCCTTCAAGACTGTTGGAAAAGCATTCCTCATGAAGCTGGTTGAGAGAATGCCAATAGTGTGCAAAGGCAAAGGGTGGCTACTTTGAAGAATATAAAATATAAAATATATTTTGATTTGTTTAACACTTTTTTGGGTTACTACATGATTCCATATGTGTTATTTCATAGTTTTGATGTCTTCACTATTATTCTACAATGTAGAATATAGTAAAAATAAAGAAAAACCCTTGAATGAGTAGGTGTGTCCAAACTTTTGACTGGTAGTGTATATATATATATATATACACTACCATGTTGTACAAATATATTTTCCATTATTATGTTCCCCTAACCCCTCCCCTAATTGGAGTAAACTAATGGACAACACTTAGGCTTCTACTTTCATCTTATACATACTATATGCTGTTTTATTAATGGCTCATGATTGTTGGTGTCTTGTTTGTGTGTTCACAGCCCAGCCCAGTCACACAGCGGCAGTGATAGCAGCCATCAGTCTCTTCCTTCTCCTGACTGTAGCTGCTGTCGTCTACTCCAGGTGCCGTCTCAACGTCACACTCTGGTACCGGAACTCCTATGGAGACTATGAGATCGACGGTGAGGAGTGAGGACATCCCCACTGCAGTGGTTAAAACACAGTGTGAGCCCACTTTCGTACTGTAGGTGGGCTAATGTTAGTTGTACATATGTAGGATTTTAATTTGAGCCAGTTTGCTACATCAGAAAAATTGTCTAGCAGCAACAGCAAATATGAATTATTACGTGGATTATAATGAATTGATTTTTTTTTTTTTTTTGATAGGGCAAATCAATTCTGACATTTTAAAGTGGAAATTAAAAACTTTAGAAGCCTTTTTAAACCTCAATTACACTACACGTTTGCATTTCATATTTGCAGGAAAAGATTAAGGCATCTGTAGGTATCGGTAAACTGATTCAAGTAGTATTGGGGGTTACAATGAATTGAACATATCAAAGATACTGTATATTATTATTTTCTTGCAATGATTGTCATATGTGGTTGTAAGAAGGGTTTACTCAGGATCGTGACACTGAATTGTGGTAAGTGTCATAAGGCCTGCGTAACACTGTCATAAGGCCTGCGTAACACTGTCATAAGGCCTGCATAACACTGTCATAAAGCCTGCATAACACTGTCATAAAGCCTGCATAACACTGTCATAAAGCCTTCATAATACTGTCATAAAGCCTGCATAACACTGTCATAAAGCCTGCATAACACTGTCATAAAGCCTGCATAACACTGTCATAAAGCCTGCATAACACTGTCATAAGGCCTGCATAACACTGTCATAAAGCCTGCATAACACTGTCATAAAGCCTGCATAACACTGTCATAAAGCCTTCATAACACTGTCATAAGGCCTGCATAACACTGTCATAAGGCCAAATGTAAGATAAGCTATGTTATAATGTCTCTCTGTTTGTCATCAGATGGGAAGCTGCATGACGCCTACATCTCCTACGTGAACAACGAATACGACAGAAAGTTGGTCAACTTCATCATCAAACCTCACCTGGTCAACAAATCTGGACATAAGCTACACCTCAATGATAACAACATCCTACCTGGGGATGGTAATGATGACACAACATAACCCTCAGTCCGTTTGACTCTTACTAAAAACAACTTGTATGCAGAGCCGATCCAGCACTTACAGGAGCAATTATGGTTAAGTGCCTTGTTTAAGGGCGCATCGACAGATTTTTCACACAGTCGGCTTGGGGATTAGAACCAGCGACCTTTGGGTTACTGGCCCAACGCTCTTAACCTGTTAGGCTACCTGCCGCCCTGAAAGTCTTCATGTTGACCTTCTTCTTCTTCTTCTTCTCTTCTTTCTTCTTTCTTCCTCTTTTCTTCTCTTCTTCTTTTCTCTCTTCTCTTCTTCTTCTTCTTCTTCTTCTGCTCCTCCTCCTCCTCTGTCAGAGCCGTCTGCTGAGTTGCTGATGAACGTTAGTCACTGTCGACGCCTCATCGTAGTGATGTCACACGCCTACCTAGAACAGGACTGGTGCTTTAACAACTTTAGGTAGGTATGCAGATAGCTCATCATTATGCCTATGTAAAAAATGATGCTAACCGCTAATGCTAATGCTAGTTGTGTCCCTGTGTGGTCCTCTCTTAGCTTAGCATGCTAACCACTAATGCTAATTTTGTCCCTGTGTGGTCCTCTCTTAGCTTAGCAGGCTAATGATAATGCCACTAATGCTACAGCGTCACTATGTGTTTACCCATGTCCGTAAAGAACAGGGACAACTGCAACTGATGTCTGTACAAAACCCTCAGCATAGCATGATCTAGCTGACTGCTAATGCCAGTTGCTAATATCCCTGTGTTGTCCACACTCTCAGACAGTCTAATGTCTCTGTGTTGTCCACTCTCTCAGACAGTCTAATGTCTCTGTGTTGTCCACCCTCTCAGACAGTCTAATGTCTCTATGTTGTCCACCCTCTCAGACAGTCTAATGTCTCTGTGTTGTCCACCCTCTCAGACAGTCTAATGTCTCTGTGTTGTCCACCCTCTCAGACAGGCTAATGTCGTTGTGTTTTCCACCCTCTCAGACATCTAATGTCTCTGTGTTGTCCACCGTCTCAGACAGGCTAATGTCACTGTGTTGTCCACCCTCTCAGACAGTCTAATGTCTCTGTGTTGTCCACCCTCTCAGACAGTCTAATGTCTCTGTGTTGTCCACCCTCTCAGACAGTCTAATGTCTCTGTGTTGTCCACCCTCTCAGACAGGCTAATGTCGTTGTGTTGTCCACCCTCTCAGACAGTCTAATGTCTCTATGTTGTCCACCCTCTCAGACAGTCTAATGTATCTGTGTTGTCCACCCTCTCAGACAGGCTAATGTCGTTGTGTTGTCCACCCTCTCAGACAGTCTAATGTCTCTGTGTTGTCCACCCTCTCAGACAGTCTAATGTCTCTGTGTTGTCCACCCTCTCAGACAGTCTAATGTCTCTGTGTTGTCCACCCTCTCAGACAGTCTAATGTCTCTGTGTTGTCCACCCTCTCAGACAGTCTAATGTCTCTGTGTTGTCCACCCTCTCAGACAGTCTAATGTCTCTGTGTTGTCCACCCTCTCAGACAGGCTAATGTCGTTGTGTTGTCCACCCTCTCAGACAGTCTAATGTCTCTATGTTGTCCACCCTCTCAGACAGTCTAATGTCTCTGTGTTGTCCACCCTCTCAGACAGTCTAATGTCTCTGTGTTGTCCACCCTCTCAGACAGGCTAATGTCGCTGTGTTGTCCACCCTCTCAGACAGTCTAATGTCTCTGTGTTGTCCACCCTCTCAGACAGTCTAATGTCTCTGTGTTGTCCACCCTCTCAGACAGTCTAATGTCTCTGTGTTGTCCACCCTCTCAGACAGTCTAATGTCTCTGTGTTGTCCACCCTCTCAGACAGTCTAATGTCTCTGTGTTGTCCACCCTCTCAGACAGTCTAATGTCTCTGTGTTGTCCACCCTCTCAGACAAGGCCTTCTGCACCTGCTGGAGCTGTCCCAGAGGCCCATCATCATCATCACATTGGAGGGTCAGGTCAAACACATGAGACCTGATGTGGTCCAGCAGATCAGAGAACACCAACACAGACTCACCTTGCTCACCTGGTCAGGATCACACTCCATGGTGATTCAACCTAGCCCTATCTCTAACCCTGACCCTAGCCCTATCTCTAACCCTGACCCTAGCCCTATCTCTAACCCTGGTCCTGACCCTAGCCCTATCTCTAACCCTGACCCTAGCCCTATCTCTAACCCTGACCCTAGCCTATCTCTAACCCTGACCCTTAGCCCTATCTCTAACGCTGGTCCTAACCCTGACCCTAGCCCTATCTCTAACCCTGGTCCTGACCCTAGCCCTATCTGTAACCCTGGTCCTGACCCTAGCCCTATCTGTAACCCTGACCCTAGCCCTATCTCTAACCCTGACCCTAGCCCTATCTCTAACCCTGGTCCTGACCCTAGCCCTATCTCTAACCCTGACCCTAGCCCTATCTCTAACCCTGACCCTAGCCCTATCTCTAACCCTGACCCTAGCCCTATCTCTAACGCTGGTCCTGACCCTAGCCCTATCTGTAACCCTGGTCCTGACCCTAGCCCTATCTCTAACCCTGACCCTAGCCCTAACCCTTAGCCCTAACCCTTAGCCCTGACCCTAGCCCTATCTCTAACCCTGACCCTAGCCCTATCTCTAACCCTGGTCCTGACCCTAGCCCTATCTCTAACCCTGACCCTAGCCCTATCTCTAACCCTGACCCTAGCCCTATCTCTAACCCTGACCCTAGCCCTATCTCTAACCCTGACCCTAGCCCTATCTCTAACCCTGACCCTAGCCCTATCTCTAACCCTGGTCCTGACCCTAGCCCTATCTCTAACCCTGAGCCTGACCCTAACCCTGACCCTGGTCCTGACCCTAGCCCTATCTCTAATCCTGACCCTAGCCCTATCTCTAACCCTGACCCTAGCCCTAACCCTTAGCCCTGACCCTAGCCCTATCTCTAGCCCTGACCCTAGCCCTATCTCTAACCCTGACCCTAGCCCTAACCCTTAGCCCTAACCCTTAGCCCTGACCCTAGCCCTATCTCTAGCCCTGACCGTAACACATGAAGCCTGACGTGGTGAGTGGCGCAGTGGTCTAAGGCACTGCATCGCAGTGCTAACTGTGTCACTAGAGATCCTGGTTCGAATCCAGGCTCTGTCGCAGCCGGCCGCGACCGGGAGACTCATGGGCGGCGCACAATTGGCCCAGCGTCGTCCAGGGTAGGGGAGGGAATGGCCGGCAGGGATGTAGCTCAGTTGATAGAGCATGGCGTTTGCAACGCCAGGGTTGTGGGTTCGATTCCCACAGGGGGCCAGTATAAAATAAATAAATATGTAAGTCGCTCTGGATAAGAGCGTCTGCTAAATGACTAAAAATGTAAATGTAAATGTCATAGAATGGTTAGGATCACCTCATTATCTTCCAATGCTACAGCTTAGTTATTGTGTCATATGACAACTGGCAAATATGTTTTTTTCACATTACTTATCCAAGCTTTACTGTGCTGGCCTGGTTAAGCATCCACTATTGTTGCTGGAACTGTGCCGGAAACAGGACAATGTAAAAAGACGGGGTCTATCCAAACCAGCCCATCACTGTATGGTAATAACGTTCTTTTACGTTCTGGTCATTTTTTTCCCAGTCCCACAAAAATGCAACAAAGTGCATATGCAAAGCCCTCATTCTGTCACTCAGAAAATTATTCCAGTGTCTGCCTGCCAGCTGAAAGTCTTTACCAGTGTGTGTGTAGGCTACCTGCCCCTCCCCCTCCCTCCAGTGTAAGCGACCTGCCCTCCCCCTCCCTCCAGTGTAGGCTAACTGCCCCCTCCCCCTCCCCCTCCAGTTAGGCTACCAGGCCCCTCACACCCTCCCCCTCCCTCCAGTGTAGGCTACCTGCCCTCCCCCTCCCTCACATGTAGACTACCTGCCCCTCCCCTCCCTCCAGGTAGGCTACCTGCCCCTCCCCCCTCCTCCAAGGTAGGCGGTACTGCCCCTCCCCCTCCCTCCAGTGTAGCTACTTGCCCCTCCCCCTCCCTCCAGTGTAGGCTACTTTGCCCCTCCCCCTCCCTCCAGTGTAGCTACCTGCCCCTCCCCCTCCCTCCATGTAGGCTAACCGCCCCTCCCCCTCCCTCCAGTGTAGGCTAGCTGCCCCCCCCCCTCCCTCCAGTGTAGGCTACTTGCCCCCCTCCCCCAGGTGGCTATGCCCCTCCCTCCTCCAGTGTAGGCTACTGCCCCGTCCCCTCCTCCAGTGTAGGCTACCTGCCCCTCCCCCTCCCTCCAGTGTAGGCTACTTGCCCCTCCCCCCTCCCTCCAGTGTAGGCTACTGCCCCTCCCCCTCCCTCCAGTGTAGGTTACCTGCCCCTCCCCCCCCCCCCCCCCCTCCCTCCAGTTAGGCTAAACCTGACCCTCCCCCCCTACCAGTGTAGGGCCACCTGCCCCCCCCTCCCCCGTTAGGCTACCTGCGCCCTCCCCCTACCCTCCAGTGTAGGCTACTGCCACTCCCCCTCCCTCCAGTGTAGGCTACCTGCCCCTCCCCCCTCCCTCCAGTGTAGGCTACTGCCCCTCCCCCTCCCTCCAGTGTAGGCTACCTGCCCCTCCCCCTCCCTCCAGTGTAGGTACTTGCCCCTCCCCCTCCCTCCAGTGTAGGCTACCTGCCCCTCCCCCCCCCTCCCGTGTAGGCTACCTGCCCCTCCCCCTCCTCCAGTGTAGGTTACCTGCCCCTCCCCCTCCCCCTCCAGTTGTAAGCTAACCTGCCCCTCCCCCTCCCTCCAGTGTAGGCGACCTGCCCCTCCCCCTCCCTCCAGTGGTAGGCTACCTGCCCCTCCCCCCTCCTCCAGTGTAGGCTACCTGCCCCTCCCCCTCCCTCCAGTGTAGGCTACCTGCCCCTCCCCCTCCCTCCAGTGTAGGCTAGCCTGCCCTCCCCCTCCCTCCAGTGTAGGCTACCTGCCCCTCCCCCTCCCTCCAGTGTAGGCTAACCTGCCCTCCCCCCCCCCTCCATGTAGTCTAGCTGCCCCTCCCCCTCCCTCCAGTGTAGTCTACTGCCCCCTCCCCCTCCCTCCAGTGTAGGCTACTTGCCCTCCCCCTCCCTCCAGTGTAGGCTACCTGCCCCTCCCCCTCCCTCCATTGTAGGCTACTTGCCCCTCCCCCTCCCTCCAGTGTAGGCTACCTGCCCCTCCCCCTCCCTCCAGTGTAGGCTACCTGCCCCTCCCCCTCCCTCCAGTGTAGTCTAGCTGCCCCTCCCCCCTCCCTCCAGTGTAGTCCTAGCTGCCCCTCCCCCTCCCTCCAGTGTAGGCTACTTGCCCCCCCCCTCCCTCCAGTGTAGGCTACTTGCCCCTCCCCCTCCCTCCAGTGTAGGCTACTTGCCCCTCCCCCTCCCTCCAGTGTAGGCTACCAGCCCCTCCCCCTCCCTCCAGTGTAGGCTACCAGCCCCTCCCCCTCCCTCCAGTGTAGGCTACCTGCCCCTCCCCCTCCCTCCAGTGTAGGCTACCTGCCCCTCCCCCTCCCTCCAGTGTAGGCTACCTGCCCCCCCCCCCTCCAGTGTAGGCTACTTTGCCCCTCCCCCTCCCTCCAGTGTAGTCTACTTGCCCCTCCCCCTCCCTCCAGTGTAGTCTAGCTGCCCCCTCCCCCTCCCTCCAGTGTAGGCTACTTGCCCCTCCCCCCTCCAGTGTAGGCTACCTGCCCCTCCCCCTCCCTCCAGTGTAGGCTACCTGCCCCTCCCCCCTCCCTCCAGTGTAGGCTACTTGCCCCTCCCCCTCCCTCCAGTGTAGGCTACCTGCCCCTCCCCCTCCCTCCAGTGTAGGCTACCTGCCCCTCCCCCTCCCTCCAGTGTAGGCTACTTGCCCCTCCCCCTCCCTCCAGTGTAGGCTACTTGCCCCTCCCCCTCCCTCTGAAACATGTATAGTCTACTGTAGCTACTGACGTTACAGGCGTGATTCAGAAATTAGGGAGAGAGATTTTTAGTTAAGAGAACAGTGGATTAACCTTTTTAATGCTAGTTAAAGATACTGTAGTTGTTTTACATTGGACGTGTTTTTATTTTAATTCTGGTGCCGCTCTGCACACACAAGCTTGTTAGCTAGCTAGCCTGTTAGCTAGCTCTGGTCCAGCTCTCAAATTCTAGGCAGCATTATGTATAATATAATGTGACTGAGAGTCATGATCAACGGCTAGCTCCGGTCCAACGTTAGTGAAGCCAACTCTCTGAAGTTCAAAGACATTCAAAGTTCCTTCACAGAAGCCACTCCCTCCGTAAGTATAATTCTGTGGGTCTAATTCAGATAACGCACGTCATAACAACAAGATGCCCAGCGCTTCATGCCCAGTGCTCTCCTCACCAGGAACATTTCAGTCGCATGTTGCACCCTACACTACACTTGTCTGTTCAATGCATGTACATAGCTTGCCTGCTCCATAACAAGTTGCTCTATCCATTGCTGAAGTCATTTCATGTTGAGCTAAACCTCGATTTCAGAGGTTTAAAAACTGGTACTTTTTTGGGGTTCAAACTGGTTCAGAACTTTATATTGCTGGTCAGAACAGTGGAACGGCTAACTGGACTGTATACTGTGCTGTGTCTCCCCAGCCGCCGTCGTCAGTGTTCTGGAAGGAGTTGGCCCTGGCCATGCCTCGTAAGGTTGTGTTCCACAGCGACGCGGCAGGGGACCCACAGACCCTCTTCCAAGACGATAAGGACCCCATGCTCACCCTCAACCCAGACTACCTGGACTGTCGCCCTGACCCCGACCCTGCAGGAGACCTGGGTAAGACCATGTGACTGGCTGGCAACAGGGTTGGGTGCTATTGGCACTGGATTACAATGCTAATTCCATTTCAGATTGGGTCAATTCCATTTCAATTCAGTCAATTCAATAAATTAAAATGGATTTGACCCCAAACCTAATCCACCAGGACCAATACCATTTTGTGTTATGTAATGTAATCGTATCCATACACCAGTGGAGGCTGCTGAGGGGAGGATGGCTCATAATAATGGCTGGAACGGAGCAAATGGAATGGCATCAAACACATGGAAACCATGTGTTTGATGTACTTGATACCATTCCACTAACTCCGCTCCAGCCATTACCACAAGCTCGTCCTCCCCAATTAAGGTGTCGCCAAGCTTCGAGAAAGCTACAATGCTTCACTCTAAAGCCCCATAGAACTAAGATTGCTGACCTACAGCGTCGATCCACACATTTCTTCAACCAAATGACTAAATCTCCTTGTTCACCCTCTCCTTTCTTCTCTCATTTTCTCCAGGCCTGCGTCTCCCAGTCCACAAGGCCCCGACACCAAGAGTCCCTGTGCTGCCAATGTTCCCCTCTGTCCCTGCATCCCTGACTGAGCCCAAACCCTCAGATATAGATGTATCGGACCTGGGATCGCGCAACTATGGAGCTCGCAATGACTTCTACTGCCTGGTCACAGAGGACATCTGAGCTAAACTGTAGCCCCTGAAGAAAAAAGAAGAACAAGATCTCAAATTTCTACTCTCCCAGAAGGAAATAGGTCACTTCAGTCTGAAACATGTTCTCTCAACAACACCATTACTTCACAGTGTATGTTACATTTCTAAAAAGTGAAAACATTTTTGTTCTTTGAACAACTTTGATTTTATCTCAGATTTATTACATTTGTGCTTATATTAAACTGAGTGTACAAACAATAGGAACACCTGCTCTTTCCATGACATAGACTGACCAGGTGAATCCAGGTGAAAGCTATGATCCCTTATTGATGTCACTTGTTAAATCCACTTCAATCAGTGTCGATGAAGGGGAGGAGACCGGTTAAAGAAGGATTTAAGTCTTGAGACAATTGAGACATGGATGTGTGCCATTCGGAGGGTGAATGGGCATGATAAAATATTTAGGTGCCTTTTGAACAGGGTATGGTAGTAGGTGCCAGGTGCACCGGTTTGTGTCAAGAACTGCAATGCTGCTGGGTTTTTCACGCTCAACAGTTTCCCCGTGTGTATCAAGAATGGTCCACCACCTAAAGGACATCCAGCCAACTTGACACAACTGTGGGAAGCATTTGAAGTCAACATGGGGCAGTATCCCTGTGGAACGCTTTCGACACCTTGTAGAGTCCACGCCGCAACGAACTGAGGCTGTTCTGAGGACAAAAAGGGGCGGTGCAACTCAATATTAGGAAGGTGTTCTTAATGTTTTGTACACTCAGTGTATAAAATTTCATTCCAATGATCATTTCACTGACATTTTTTGAAGGACCTTGGTGTTTACACTTCATGCTATTATATGCAATTTGTATAAGATACCTGTTATGTGAACTGTGTGTGAAAAATATATAAAGTTGTTGAGTGGTCTGCTGAAGTATTCTGTGATTTTGTTTTAATGTTAACGTGGAAATACATTCATTCTAATTTCATAGGGTTTGTTTAGAATTATGTTCAATAGAAATATTTAAGACAAAAGCTACCCCTTGTGTAGTTTAGGGCAATTTACTGGTCCAGCCCGTTTCATATGTAAGTCACCTTGCATGAGCCTTTGTGTCACGTTCGTTGAATGACGCGTCAGACCAAGGCGCAGCGTGATATACGTACATGTTTATTTACACTGAATAAACACACGACAAAACAACAAACAAACGAAACGTGTAGTCCTAAGGTTGTACATACAACAAACCTTACCCGGAACAAGATCCCACAACTCAATAGTGCCAATAGGCTGCCTAAGTATGGTCTCCAATCAGAGGCAACGAGCGACAGCTGCCTCTGATTGGGAACGTTCTTATCATAACAATAATCTCAGTGCCCCCTTCCCTAGCGGTTATTCGTTTATTGGGATCCCCATTAGCTCTTCCTGGGGTCCACAAAAAAACACAAAACATGACAAGTAACAAAACACTGATACACTGATAGACGAGGACAGTCACACAAATTTAAAATACAATTATATACAAACAATACAACAAAATAATAATGCGTGTTAAAATGTGTCTGCGTGTGTGCGTGTGTCCCCTCACTGCTTGAGTAATTGGAGATGGAAGGGAGTTCCATGCGATCATGGCCTCTGTATAATACTGTGCCTTGCCATGAATTCGTTTTGGACTTGGGGGCTGTGAAGAGACCCCTGGTGGCATGTATTGTGGGGTATGTATGGGTGTCTGAGCTGAATGTTATTTGATCATGCAGACAATTTGGAATTTTCATCACAGTAATATTTATTTCCACTCCCTCCTCACTCCCTTTGTCTCTCCTTCCCTTACAACCACCGCCAAGGGATAACACAGGGAGGGAGGGAGGGAGGGAGTGGAAGGAGGGGGGGAGTGGAAGGAGGGAGGGAGTGGAAGGAGGGGGGAGGGGGAGGGGGGGAGTGGAAGGAGGGAGGGGGGGGGAGTGGAAGGAGGGAGGGAGGGAGTGGAGGAGGGAGGAGGGAGTGGAAGGATGGGGGAGGGGGAGAGAGGAAAGAAGGAAGGAGGGAGGGAGGGAAGGAGTGGAAGGAGGGAGGGAGAGGGGGGGGAAGGAGGGGGGGAGGGAGGGAGGGAGGGAGTGGAAGGAGAGGGAGGGGGAGAGAGGAGGGAGGGAGGGAGGGGGAGTGGAAGAAGGGAGTGGAAGGAGGGAGGGAAGGAGGGAGGGAGGGAGTGGAAGGAGGGAGGGAGTGGAAGAAGGGTGTGGTTTCCATACTGTAGGACATCATTCTACATTCCTAACCAAGTGGGAAGGTAAATGTACCACATATCACTGGGAACAATCCACCTGAACGGCCCTCCAGCTGGTATTTACTAGTGGGGAAACTTGTCCATCGTCTCTGAGCTCCAACTTCTCCCACATGCTGACCTCTGACGTCACCTACTAAGGAAATGACTTCAATAAAGGCATTTTCGGGCAGTTAAATGCACCAACAAAGGGAAAGGGAAAGGGGGTACAACTGAATGTACAACTGAATGAACAACTGAATGTACAACTGAATGTACAACTGAATGAACAACTGAATGTACAACTGAATGAACAACTGAATGTACAACTGAATGTACAACTGAATGAACAACTGAATGTACAACTGAATGTATAACTGAATGTACAACTGAAATGTGTCTTCCGTATTTAACCCAACCCCTATGTATCAAAACATGATTTATAAAAAGCTATCTATTAATATGTCTTTTTAATACTATGATTTCTTTCCAAGCATGAAAGCTGTACTTTTAGTTTATGGTTGACGCAGATTGTTGGCCATTAGAAAATTGAATTTCTCAACAGGTTCAAAGCATGTGAATGCATCCAACGTTTATTTAATAATAATATACGCCATTTAACAAACGCTTTTATCCAAAGCGACTTGGAGTCCTGCGCGCATACATCTGACATATGGGTGGTCCCAGGAATCGAACCCCCTATCCTGGCATTGCAAGCACCATGCTGGACCAACTAAGCTATAGAGGACCACCTTTATGACTTCACAACTGGTAATTACCACCTTCCCACTTGGTTATGAAGGCAGCATAAGGCTCTGTGTAGGGCAGGCAGTAGGTTGGGCCAGATATAAGGGTTAGTCCAGTAGATTGGGCCAGATATAAGAGTTAGTCCAGTAGATTGGGCCAGATATAAGAGTTAGTCCAGTATATTGGGCCAGATATAAGGGTTAGTCCAGTAGATTGGGCCAGATATAAGAGTTAGTCCAGTAGATTGGGCCTGATATAAGAGTTAGTCCAGTAGGTTGGGCCTGATATAAGGGTTAGTCCAGTAGATTGGGCCTGATATAAGAGTTAGTCCAGTAGGTTGGGCCTGATATTAGGGTTAGTCCAGTAGGTTGGGCCTGATATAAGGGTTAGTCCAGTAGAGGTTGGAACTGTATCATTCCATCCTCTCTGAGCACCAGCTAGTATGCAAAAGGTAGTGTTTTAGAGCAACCATTCTACTGAATTGCAGTTCACCACCTGTGCGGAATCACTGATCTGCAAATCATAATGAGTAATTATTTTGGATGCAAGTTGATTTGTAGATCAGTCAGTCTGTCAGAATTGATGCGCTCAAACACGGCCATTGCCAGTCTTCTGCATGGAGCACAATTGCAGCTACATCCTGTTGTGAAAGAGCAGGAGTTTTTCCTGAACACGTGACCTGAACAGGAAAAACTAGGGCCCAAAGTTGTCTATATATTAAATGCCTAATAATATTATTTCAAATATAGTCACTCATTGACATCCTTCCAAATCTCTAAAAGCCTGGTCTTCTGAGGCTATTTCTAATAAATGTATTACATTTGGGAAACTAGATCTTAATCTCTTGGTCAGGTACCTTGGTCAGGTAACCTGTTCAACTGTTGGTCAGGTAACATTGTCAACTGTTGGTCAGGTAACCTGGTCAATTCTTGGTCAGGCAACTTGGTCAGGTAACTTGGTCAAGAAAAACTCCTGACCCTGGTTGATATGAAACCTCAATAACAAAACCCATTTAATTACTTTTTGTCTTTATTAGTTATAAAATATGCAGTTTATTTGACACACATCTGCAGTGAACAGTTAAAAAGCACAATGTAAAAATAAAAATCATATGTTTTCCATATCGTAGATAGTTAAACGTAGTCTCATGGTCCAATCATGGACACAGCAAATCATTGTCTTCTCTTGATGTCGATGCATGAAATATATTTTTCCAAAAATATTCATGTTATTCTAATACCAAAATTCATCTGAACATACTTTACTAAGAGAACACTATTAAAATATATACATTTACTTTATATTTACCCATTGAATATATATCAATACCAAAAATAGACTTGAACAACACCTTTCAGGAGGAAGGTCTTCTTTAAATACAGTGCGGTCCACAATTAGTGACACCCTTGATAAAGATTAGCAAAAATTACTGTATAAAATAATATTTTTAAAATGCTATATTGTATGCTCCAAAACATTGGGAAATTATATTAATTTATACTACTACAATTGCTCAGAGTAATAAAACAATTGTTGACACCCGTTTTCAATACCTCACCTTGCGAGGATAACAGCACTGAGCTTTTTTCTGAAATGTTTTTATGAGATTGGAGACCACATTGGGAGGGATCTTAGACCATTGCTTCATTCAGAATCCTTCCGGATCCTTGATATCCTTAGTCTTCAATTCAAACAACGGGTTTTCAATGCGTTTCAAGTCCGGAGACTGAGATGGCCATTGCAAAAATTTTGATTTTTAACAAGAACCAGTGGAAGGAAAACAGCCCCATAACATCAAAGATCCACCACCATATTTTACAGTAGGTGTGGGGTTATTTTCTGCTCATGCGTTTTCATTTGGACGCCAAAACCCACCACTTCTGTGCGTGGACAAAGAGTTCTATTTTCATGTCATCCAACAAATGTAAACGGCTGGAGTTTGCTAAACGGCGTTGGCACTTGGATTGGAACCGGTGTTTTGGTCAGATGACATGAACATAGAGCTCAGTAGTGTTGTATTAGTATATAATAATAATGTAATAATATCTCAGTGTATTAATTAATGATTTCATACAGTTAGTTTTGCTCATCCTTACCAAGGATGTCAATAACTTGGTACCCCAATGCACTGTATGTGCTGTATACAAAACATCACTTTAGTTTTATATTTACAGTATGCTTAAGATAGAAATCCGATATTGCAGCATGCTCTGAAAGAGAATAACAATTCATGCTTTTTCCCCCAAGCCTTGAAAAACATCAATGTTGGACTATGTTTGTTGACTTCATCCA